CCCCAAAACCCCAAAACCCCAAAACCCCCAAAGCTTATCTTGAAGTTATAGATTCAAAGATGATAAATGATATAAGTTATCTATAAATAGACGTAATGATGATCTAATTTCTTAGAGAATAAAATAGAATCTTATTATGTGTACCATTTAGATGTTTCGTTCTTCATGGTCTTAGCCTCTTGGGGTCTCTAGGGAATAATGAGCACTTTCTGATGTTTCTAATACCGCAGTAAAGCTTAACGACTCTCTCTAGACCGATACCGCAACCACCGTGGGGAGGAGCACCATACTTGAATGAATCAATATACTCTTGGATAGTGTTTACTGGGATATTGTGGGCGGTGGCTCTTTGAGCTAGGAACTCTGGGTCATGGATTCTTTGAGCGCCTGAAGTGATTTCTTCTCCTCTCATGAAGAAATCGTAAGAGTTAGTGTAGTTAGGGTCGGTAGGATCCAACATAGTGTAGAAAGGTCTAGCATTGGTTGGATATCCATAGAGCATATAGAAGTCAGTGTCGTATTTCTCTCTCACAAGTCTTCCAAGTTGTTGCTCGTTATAGGTATTCAAATCTTGAAGTGGCTCTTAGAAAAGACCATTTTCGGCAAGAAGTTGAACAGCTTCCTTGAAGTTAAGTCTTACAACTGGAGTCTTGCACTTGAATGGTTCGAAGTGATATTACTCAGCAACAATCGCGAGTTCTTTTCCAAATCTGGTCTCAAGTCCTTGGAAGATATGAACAAATAGATCAGCCAATAAATCAAGAATTTCAAAGTAGTGTTCTTTGAAAACCATTTCTATATCCAAACCTGTGAACTCGCACAAATGTCTGTTAGTGTTAGAATCTTCAGCTCTGAAGACTGGACCGATTTCGAAAACTCTTTACATATCTCCACAAAGGACCATTTGCTTGTAAAGTTATGGGGATTGAGCAAGGCAAGCTTCCTAGTCGAAATATGGAAGTCTGAATACGTTAGCACCACCTTCTGAGGTACCTCCAATAAGTTTTGGTGAGTGAATTTCAATGAAATCTTTGCTGTATAAGAATTCTCTAAACAAAAACCCAACAGCTGATTGGAGTCTCATCAAGGCTTAGTTAGCTGGAACTCTTAAATCGATGATTCTATTGTTGAGTCTGACATCTTGACCAACAACAGCCATCTTGCCATCCTTTGACTCTTCCTTATTTTCTGGGGCTTTCTCCTCATCTTCCTAATTCTCAACTCTTCTACTAGCATCTTCTAATTGGAAGGGAAGCATAGGAACTGACTTATTGACTACCCAAACCTCTGTGATTTATAATTCAACCTTTTGAGAACATCCTTATACCTCCTTTTCTGGAACAGAGACGATCGCCTTAAGATCAATAATTGATTCTTTTGGAATTCTTCTTGAAAAATCAACCATACCTTTGCTAATTTTTTCACTGACGAATAGAACTGATTAAACAGTGGCAAATTGCTCTCTCAATACGATGAAGCACATTTTGCCAGTGGCTCTTGATGTGTGTAATCTACCTCTTACCAACACCTCTTATCCTTGAAGACTAGCGTCTAAATCCTTAACCTAAGTGAATGTGCGAGCATATCTCAACTCAGGGTCTGATTATGATCTGTTAAGTTCTAGGTCACCAAAAAGATGAGCTGATATATCGTTGGGGTCCTTCTTGTACTCAACTTCGGCTGTTTTTTACTGTCTAGCAGCTAATCTCTCTTACTTTTTCTTTTCTTTATCATGCTTTGTGTTTTGCTTTTTCTGCTCCTTATTCTCAGTTGCAGGAGTGCTGGTAGTAGTGGTGGTAGTCTCTTCTACTTCAGTAGCCTTTTGCTCTTCTGTTGTGGTTGGTTGTGTTGTGTTATCTGTAGTCTCCATATCTTTTTGCTGATGTGTATTATTAGTTGTAAATACTCTGTATTATAATAGTTAGTTGAGTGAAGGTTAATAAGCTATCTTATTAATATCATTCATCCAATAATAATTTAACTTGTGATTATTATTACCACTAGTTTTTAATAATTGCTTATTAATTACAGTTGCATATTATTTACTCGGATTACACATTTAGAAGTGAGTAGCTTTTTTCATTTAGGAAGTTAGATATTTTGACTTGAAAAGTAAAGAGTTTATTTGCATGATTAAATTGATTATATAAGTAGGTTGTGTGGTTGTAATTAAAGAGGAATATTAAGAACACTTTAATGAAAGAACACAAGTCTTGAAGGAAAAGGATGGAATTATATTAATCCTTAGAATTAATGATTATTTATATCTTCATTAAAGTATTCATTACTATGTGCTCTAGGTTATGCAGACTCAAACAGACTTCTAAATATAATCTCTCATTTTTCAATGCAATTCATTGCTTGTTATCTTCCTTTTCATATGATTTTTATTCCTCTTCCTATTATTTCTATTCTTCTTAATCTTATTTCGCTTCATCATTGTCTGGAATCTATTTACCCTAAGACTACTTTTATGCTCTCCTCTATAATGCTTCTTACTTTTTAAGAGCTTTTTCGTCCTTAATACTATCTACAGTGATTGTGACTGGTCCATCACAAACCATTTCAATATTCATATATTGCCCAAAAGCTCCAGGCTGAACCTTGTCTGCTATGTATTACTTCCTCAAGTATTCCAAAAATTCGTTATAAAGTATTTAAGCTTTTTCACCATTCATTGCATCATGAAAATCAGGCTTTGTCCCTTTTAATTAGTGATAAAGAGTGAATTGTGACACTAAAAGTATGTCGAATTTGTTATCAACGACATTTGATGACCAAGCTTTACCCTTCTCATCAGGCCAGAGTTTCAACTTTAAAATTTTATTTGCAAGGTATTGATAGTCCATATAATTATCTGTGTGAGTAATTCCAACTAAAACCATCAAGCCTTTGTTAATCTGGGATACCAGCTTTTCCTCTGAAGTCAAAGATGCTTTTAAAACTCTTTAGATGATGATTTTCATTTTATCTTTATTAATGAAACATCTATAATTAACTTAAGTTCACTTTATTTTCAATATATTTTTATGATGGGGTTTTGGGGTTTTGGGGTTTTGGGGTTTTGGGG